TCCAATAGTCCCATTTAGCTGCCAGAAGACGGAGAGATGGCTGAATCACTCGTGTGATCCTGAAGTAGCATCAGGAGGTACCAGGGAAACTTCAGAGACAGTTTGCAGCTCGCCATTCAGCCCTGGTTCTACATCTTCCACCGCAGATTCGGAACAGACCCCCAGGGGATTCATTCCTGGGAAGAACGGGGAAAAAAATGACAAGTTCTGACCTAGATTAAAAAAAAAAAATCTTAGACAGTTCCTGGGGAAAGTAAATTGTGTCTTACTAGGGAGCCTTAGATTTGAAAAGTAACACAAAAGTAGCCTTCTCATTCCTGACTGGAGCGAAACCCAGGAATTCCCCTGGTTAGATGGCTGTGAATACTGCAGAGAAAATCAAGTGCTGTCAATGAAATTTGGAGGAGTGCTACTTCATGTCAGTTGAACAAATTTCTGGCTTATAGCATTTGCTTTAATAAAGGGTTTTTTTTTTCTTTCTAAATCCATTAGAGATTAGACACTAAACTTTCAGAGAAATATGAAATTGGGATTATATAAAAAGTTAAAAAAATAAACAACCACGGGTTGAAACAAGGTAGGATTTGGCAGAGCAGAGGCATTGTAAAATTAAAATACATTTCTCTCAAACATCAGTGTTTTGTACATGAGGCTACAACATTTAGGATTGCATCATAAGAGACTTCTACAGGTGAAATATGACTGCATAGCTCTTCCTGGTTCAGATGATAGCCTCCCCTTCTCATAGTCTTATTTTGGAAATGGTTTGGGGGACCTAAATTGAGCTACTATTACCAAGGGGAAAAGCCATAACTTACTAGTAGGTACCAAGAAAATTCCATGGGCTTCACTGAAATTTTCTCCAGGGTACTTGCCTGCAGGAGAGGGCTTGTAACACCTTTGAACAGAAAAGAAAGGTTCAGTTCACTGAAGTGTGTGTGTTCAGGAGAGTTAGCAAAATATATTCTTTAAACTATATTTTCTAATATTTTAAGGGGGTCTCTAGATGTAAAACGTAAGAAAAAATCTTCCAAACTTAATTTTCCAAAATTATATTATCAAATTAGTATATTCTTAAAAAACAGGATAGACATTAGTCATCTACATTACCAAAGGAGGAAATGTTTTAAAACCAGATGACAGATTTGTGCTTTATAACTTAAACAATACTGAATGATGAACAATCTTCCATGTTCATTAAGCAGAAAGAAGAGAGAATGTCTGTAAAAGTGAATAAAAGAGACTTTTATTGAACAAATATGCCTAACCCCCTATTTTATTAGCTGATAATACAAATCATTACTGGCTCTTGCTCTGAAAATCATTTCAATGTAATGAATTCATTTTAGAGCCTCAATACAGCTGAGGCTGAAGACTCTTTGTGACTTTGGGAGGAAGTTTCAAATGGCCCCACCCAAGTTGAAGACTTTTTCTTGCTTACTAAGTTATAAAGTTGAAACTTTCACTCAGGAACATTTCCAGCTTGGATAACACTTTTTGTCAGATAAAGGTTTCTTTCAAGATAACAGAGAACAAAAGGCAAGAAGGAACCTCCAAGCCTGTATGACTCAGGTGGTCACCTTCCACATCCATAAATTAAAAGTTTTTCTTTATGTGTTTGCTGTTTGTGTCTTGCATAGTGCCTGAAACAGCATTTGATGGACACTTTATTACTCAGTTTGTGCAATATCCTCATTATTTCCCTTGTAATTCTTATTGGTTTCTCCTCCTCCTCCTCCTCCTCCTCCTCCTCCTCCTCCTCCTCTTCCTCCTCTTCTCCCCTCCTCCTCTTCTTTCTTCTCTTATTTTTTTTTTTAATTTTGAGACAAGGTTTCACTATATATCCCTGGATGTCCTGACACTCATGATGTAGACCAGACTGGCCTCGAACTCACAGAGGTTCTCCTGCCTCTGCCTCTCAAGTGCTAGAATTAAAGGCATACACCACCACCCTGGGCCATGGTTTTTTTTTGTTTTTGTTTTTCTTGTAACGTTAACAAAACAAAATTCTAGGTAATTTTGATCAAACAAACAAAAATGACAGGAAAACAGTTCATCCTTTGCCAGTTGGTAAGAGAGAACAGTGGTATTTTCCTAGTTGAGTTACAACTGTGTGGCATGGTACTATTTTGTTTGAAACAAACGTAAAATTCCAGATGTAACAACCTGCATTTAAAGAAGAAATGACTTAGAAAGCCCTAATCGTTTATTACTTTTCAGGTATAAACCCATTGCAGAACATCCACCATCCTAAAGAATGACCTATGGAAGAGGTGAAGGAAATTCAAGGTCACAAACTCTATTCTGCCTTATCAGATAAATTTTGAAACTGATTGGCATGGTCTTCTTGACGAGGATATATCTTTAAAAACTAGCACTGCTTATTAATCATAATGTGCATAGGGCTGTTTTTAGGAAGTCAGCCCAGTGAACACAGTGAACCTTGGACCATGTTCCCGACCTCTGCCCCTAACTAAGTGCTCCCAACAGGTTGGTATGCAGCCTGGGGCACACTGAAATCGATGAAGCAAATGGGAAGGGGGTGAGGAGGGGTGGAATCCTGAGTTTAGAAGTGGCTTTGTGCCTGCGTCTTCTTTTAGCCCAAATGAGCTCCAGGATGGCTTCTTCATTGATTTGGGGGCCTGACTCAAGATTATTTACAGTTTTGAAGGATGATTATAAGAGGTGATTATATTTTTCCAGTGGAAAATGTATGTTTATGTACCAAGGGTACCTCTAGCTTCCCTGGGCAGTCTTTCATAGCAGACACTTGTATGTCAGCAGTGTACTCATCGGGCCATCTTGGTGGCTTGGACCGGAAAGAGTCAAACTGTAATGGTGACAGTACCGCGGAGACACTAGGTCTTCCTTCTGCAATCCGAGAGGCTAAAGCAGAGGGCCCTCTTCCAAAGCTCTCAGTGGACAGGTGGCGCTGGCAGGCAAAGCTGCATTTACAGGCTCCACAGATCTCACGGAGTCTTCCCACTTGTATTCCTAGAAAGAAATGGAAGCACTGGTTCACTTCCGTTATCCCAGCACATGGGAAGCTGAGGAAAGAGGACTAGGAGTTCAAGGTCAACCTCAGCAACATAGGAGTTCAAGGCAGGGCTACAAGAGACTTGTTTTTAAAACCAAACAAACAAAATTAAAAAGTAAATGGATCCACTAAAGGAAATCTCTTTACCAATGTCTAGAACAAACAGTGGCCCATTTTTTACTAAAGAATTCACCTCTTCATTTAAGAAGTTGGTATTTCAAACTTGATATCAAAGTCAATTCGTCAACATGAGAGAATGATTTAAAAGCTCTACTTGGGAGAAGTGGTTGATAAAAACTCAAGCCAAGTTGTTCCAAATATCCTGTTGTTGATTCATCCAGTTTAGAGATTATAAGAGAAGCTACGGCTGTCGTCCCAAGACAGTGATGTCGTCATAAGAAAATACAGTAGTCTGTTTATAGATTCATTTATTCAGCCAGAAAGCTTCCACTGAACGTTTAACCCAGGAAAAGTACTAACCATAGAGAGGAAGATATATCTTTGGTCTCTGTGTGGGGGAAGACAGTTTTTAGACAGGTAATTACAGTTTTGTGCAACTAGGACTCACGGGCCAAATGTGTAAGATGCAGGCGTCTCTCAGGGAAAGACGCATTTATGTCTGGCAGGGGGAGGAAAGGTGATGTTGGAGCTCACTCTCGGAGGAAGAAAAAGGGTGTTTATTGGGTGTTCTAGGAAGAGGAAACTATGAATAAAGGCCCAGAAGTGATGGCAAAGCCTCCCAGGGTTGGGAAATAATACCTGCTTTGCATTACCAGAGAAGAAATTATGAAGAGAATACTGGAAGGAAAGCTGAGGCGTGGGCACAAGTTAAAAGTTAAAGGACTTCGAGAAACAAGCTAAGACGTTCAGACTGTATCTTCTGTGCCAGACTGGAAACCACTGTAAACTTTGGAACACAGAAGTACATTCTAGAAAGGCCATGCTGTTCACAGAACAGAGAATGCAGAGAGAAAGATGGAGCCGATGAGTAACAGTCGTTTTTACATCTGCTGGTGTGGTATAAGGGTGCTGAAGAGAAATAAACTTCATTAAATAAATCCAAAGCATGGCAAGAGTTTCAAAGCATAAAGATATTTTTCTAGAGAACTATCTTTTTAAAGATAATGAAAATGATTGCTCACACTGTTTAATCGTGATTGTTAATTTGGTCTGCCACACACATACCTTTTAAATGCACACATTGTGTTCCTTATTTGATTGACAAGCAACTATTACTGATGTGGAAGACTGTATAGTTGCAGAGAGAATGCTCCCAGGAGCTGACTGACTTGTCTGCCCATTTCTCATTTCAGTATCTGAAAGACTTTGGGGGAAGTTGCAGTATCTCCCAAGCCACCACATCCTCCTTTGTCAAGTGAAGGGCACAATGCAATGGACCCTCTGATTCACAGCTTCTCACTCACTAATCCCTCCCATTTCTCATTTCATCCTAGTGCTTTTGATTTACTTAAAGAAACTTTAACAGTTTTAGGAAGAATAGATGCATTTCAGAGATAACCCCTCAGGGTGTCATTTAGCTATAATTCCATTTTTATTGCACCATGCTTAACTTACTTAGCCTTCTTCCATGCAGGATGCTGGTTGCTTTGAAGCAGTGGACTTACTGTCCACATGAGTCATATTGTATTTTCAGACGAACACAAAGAGGAGTACTATTTAGTCACTTTCTAGACCTTCTTAGTTAAATGGACAATTTAAGCTCTAACATTTCGGTTATGGATTTTCCTGTCCAAAATGATTCTGTTTGACTCAGGTCAAATAATTGTATGGTTTCAGAATGGGTAGTATTGCACAAAATTGTAGTCCTTAAAATGACCAAAGGTGGGTTTCTTCTAATAATAGCTACTTATTTTAAGGTGTATTTCTTTGGAAACTTCCTGTTACTTAATGCTTTTCCCCCCTGTCACTTAAAGACTGTTTACTTTAGTAATATATCTCCTAGCACTCTTGGAGTTCTGTGGGGTTTGTACAGACAGAACAGCACAGCAGAACCATTATCAAGCTTCAGAGACATTGTGGGGTCTCCTGGCAAATCAAAATGTTTTTTAATGTATGACATGTATGAAGTTGATGAAAATTCATGACTTCTCTCCATCACGACTGTTTCAGCTGACAAAGGTGAGTGCAAAGAATTTCCTTTAATATTTTAAATTTCTGGAATCCTTTCCATTGCAAGGAAGCCATGTAAATTCTATGTTTTGGCTCTCCTCTGATCAAGAAGTAAATGAAAATTAGCAGTTCACAATTGTCTGTTAGAAGCTTCCTGCTTAGGCCATTACCCAGATATACAACTTTTAAAGGGGAATTGAAGTGAGGTTTGAAAATATAGTCAACAAATGTAAATATGCAAAATACATGTGGGAGACAGTGTGAATACTACTAACATTTATTACTATTTTATGGTGTAGAAACATCTTCAAATTTATCCTTCAAAACAGAAGCTGAAATAGTCAAGAAAATCTTAGGAAATAAGCCAAAGGGCTGCAGATATCGTGATCAGCTGTTATTAAGTAAAAATCCATTGAAAGCCAAATAAAAGGCATTGTGTAGTGTGTCCCGGCTAAAACCGAGACCACAAGAGCATCACAGTTAATTAGGACCAATCAGTGGGGATGCTTTGCAACACCTCTCACATCAGTGCACCATCTGACCTTCATCGTCCACGTTTCCCACAGTGTTGCTGCAAAAAAGATGGGAAGGAGATATTTGACTCACGACATTCTGTGGCACATTTGAATTTCTTGTCCTGTTAGTTCTTCTAAAGTAACTGTTATGGATCTTGAAAAAACTTCCTCAAATGCCATTTTATGTGTATTTTAGGATAATCTGATTTAAATTTTTGTTTTAATTCTATATGTATTCAAACATGAGAAAAATACTGATTTTAAAAATAAAATCTAGAACATGGATTTGAATTGTTATATGCTTTTTGTATAACTATTGCAGTTGTGAAAAAGAACTGAGGCATTGAATACAGGAATATGATGAATGATTAATACATTGCAGAGAAGCGTTGCATCGATTCTCATTTTAACACAGTGCTGAACTAAGTTAACTGTGTAACAGCAACATTGCCCGTATCTTAAAAGAAATGCACAGTGTTGCTGTTGCATAGTTAACTTAGTTCTTAAAAGAACACACAGGATTTCACTGCCTTGTTTTCACAACTCATTCACTGTTTTCTTCTACCTAGAAAACTTTAAGTGAAAGTTGATTTATTATTCTCAGGAAAAACACTACTAGGGAAACACACTGCTTTTAAATTTTTGCCATGTAACCAACATTAAAAAAAAAAATCTGTTTTTGTTATTGTTGTTAGTCATCCAACATAAAAGGTAGAATGTTCTGAGCTGCTGAGGTGCTTCAGAACATTTTTTAAAACGACATATGAAAAAATATACAGATGTTTTGACAATAGTTTGCTGTCAAGTTTTGCCTCCGTTAAAAAGCTAATTTGTGAACGAATAGCAGGTACCTTTTTTGGAGGTGAAACTAGCCACGAAACTGGCACTGTTGATCTAAGTGAGATGTCTCAGATAGGAGCCCAAGGTCCAGTGCCCGGTGTTTGTAAAAGCACTGCTTGTGATTGTAAATGAGCTCTCAGACTCAGCCGCCGTCTCCTGGTAGAAGGAGACACGCTTTGGAGGAAAGCTAAAGCTGTCTGGTGCACACGGTTTAGTTTCTGTTTGTTTTGTTATGGTCTGCATATTGTCTCCTACATCATACAAGATGTGGCTTCTCCCCTTTTTCCACTGCTCCCATATTAATCAATAAATAAATAAAATAAGGAAAGGAAAAAGTCTTTGCCAAATATTCCCTTTCTTGAAAACTCAGTAAGCCTGTAGAAAGAAAGTAAGTTTTGAGAATTCTCTTCTCTCTAGTACTAAACAGTTTCTTTCTCCTCTTTGCACAGATTTGCTCTTATCACGGCAAGAGGGGGCACCTGTGGCCCTTAACAAACTCACCCTTCACTCTGCTCCATAGAAACCACCAGCCTCAGGATAAATATGTTACTTTGGATATGCATGTCACAGTCAATAATAAAGAGGTATGTTGGGATATGATTTCCTTTTCCTACTAGGAGACAGTCACACTTGCATTAACCCAAGGCTGCTGCATTTGTCCCCCAAGGCAGGCTGTGAATAATGCCCCCCAGAAAGTGCTTTCTGCAGCCATCAGACCCAAAGCAGCTCTGTCACCCACACTTTGACTCGCAGGGATTGGGATAATCATGGTTTAAAATGTGCATTACAGAAACTCTGCTTATCTCTAAAAATCAGTATTTCTTAAAGAAAACAATTTAAGTAGAAAAGTCATTTGATAAAAATAATTGGCTCAGTGGAAACAGGGCTTACATTCTTCTGCCAGAGAATGCTCGGGTGGTGACACTAACCTCGGTGGTATTCATTAAACACAGTTTTCATTCAGCTTAAAGTCTTGGTGATGGGGGGGGCGATGAATTAGTTTAAAAATAATTTAAAAGAAATAAACAAATGCAGGGGGTGGGAAGAATAAAATCTCTATCACATGGACTTTACGTGATTCAGTTTCTCAAAAATGTTCTCAGGAGGCACAAAATCGTCATGCACTCAGTGTCAGGACAAGGATGCCTTTTAAACTGGAGAGCTTAAAGAAGTTTGCTTAGCAGATGGTAGGTTAACTGAGCCATAAAAATGATCCAGATTACAGTATTAGGACAGAACCTAAACTTTCATGAACTTTAGAACTCAAGTTATAATGGTCTTTAATAAATGGCACCTTTGGAACTTCTGAGACTCCCAAATCCAGGAGCACATTATTTTCTTGTGTTTATTTGACTTTCTTAACTGTGGGAACTAGGAAAAATTATACACTTTTAGACTGTTCCCAGGTGGTGGCCCGCTGGTGATGGCGTGCCTGTAAAACAAACGCTTATAAACAGACCAGTTCACAGCTACACTGTCGTGTTTACTTCCCTTGATTTGGTAAATAACCAATTTATATGAATGAACATAAAAAAGTGTAGATTCTTAACAATATCACAAAATTTTCTTTAAATAGTTCAGCAATTAATTAAGCGGCCCCTTGAATATGATTCATTTTATTCATCATTTATCTTCAGACCTACATGCATTTAAATTTTACAGATGAGCAAATGTTTTTAGCTATATATTGTATAAAGGTGAAGAGAGTCTGTAGCAAGCTATCTGAGTTCATTCAACAAAGTTTTGACATTTAACACCACTTTTAATAATTCTGCTTTAGATGCAATGCTGTTGTTAATTTGCTAAAGTTTCAAACATTTTTATTAAAACATCTGAGTATTAAAAGCAATACCTTGGTGCTGATAAATATTCACTTCCTTATCTCACACACTTTTTAATCTGTTTAGAAGCATAATTGTGTGTTATTTTAAAAGGACAAGTAAATAAAGTTACGTAGGGTCCACTCTAGTGATAGGAAATTCAGAATCTTTAGCAGGACCATGAGCTCCTGACTTGGCTTCAGCTTACCTACCTTGTATATAGAGTGAGCTGCCAAAATTAACCAGTGAGCACTAAGCAAAATGAGAAATCAACGGAGAGAGCAGCCAAGGAGGAACAAGGAAGAGTTTCAGGAAATGATATTTTCCCATCAGTGGATAGGCATGCATACATTAAAGGTATAAAAGGCAGCAGGAGAGAAACAAAAGCTGAGCTCTAAGGATCCTGCGAGTCTGAATTAACAAATGGGGGAAAAATGAAATCATTCTGCTTAAACTTGCTCACTAATAAAAGGAGGATTGCTTTTGTTAAATATGCTTGGTGTGATTATCAAGCAGATTTTTTTTCTCCCAGACATCTATGAATAAAACATGCAGTTTGAGCATTAGGTAAACAAACAATAAATGGGATGAGTTCAGTTGCAACATAACAACATTTTATTTAGAAAACATATATAATCATATTTGTATTGGCAATCCAAATTTAATGACTCCTTTCAGTAAAGGCAAAATGCCTTACAAATAACATCTACTGCATAAGGGTTGCTTGGCCGATTTTCCCCGTTTTCCCAAAGAAAGAGATTGTAAAGGTCTCTGCTGAACCATACCTATAAACTAGATGAATTCTGGTTGTATTGGAATTTTTTTCTTTTAAATCATTCTAATTGTAGTTTATACATGGTTCCAAAAAACAAACAAACAAACAAACAAACAGAAAACCAGAAGAAGAAGAAAAAAACCCATCTACGTTTCTGGGACAGAAGAGAAAGTGTATCAAGTCTGTGTAGTTCAGGCTGACTGAGGCAAAACTGCAGTTGAGGAGCTTGGCTTATTAGCCCTTTCATTAACATATCTGTAAACCATGAATGAGAAAAAACCATTTACAATAAGGAAAGCAAACAACAGAATGAATTTCCTCTGTTGGCGTTTTGTAAGACTGTTAAACAGAAAATGGAGGGAAGAACTCTCTTTAGACGGCATCACTTAATTAAGTAAAGCGTCGTAATCAGAGCCCCCTCCAATTGTAATGACTGTAGGGAGTCAAGTACATCTCTGTCTATATTAGAGTATCTAACCGCAATGATTTATTGATATTTATTTTAGAAGTACAACACAAAAGCAATAAAACAGCAGAGGCAGGGAGAGAGGAGGCATGCCTGGGCTGTCTGAGGTGCGGCAAACATTCCTAATGTTCTCGCGAGAGGTTCTGCTTTTTAAAATCAGAGCACACCTCTCGAGAAAAGTGTTACTTTCCCCGCCTTTGATTTTGCCACATGTTCACCGCGACGTTTCTTTGTCCGTTGGGTGAATCATTGATTCACTTTCTTCACTGCAAGAATCACTGCAAATGAGAGGACGGGCACCTGCTGTTTTGTGCAGTGACGTTACTGGATTGCATTCTACGCTGATTTTAGTCTTCAAATACGGCTTCTCCGTGTGGGAGACAGATTCAGGGGAGGAGAGTAAATACACTGTATAGGCAGGCAGACCTTGGCTGCCCTCCAAGTCGCACACAGCATCAACCTGTTTATCTGCCACATCTCACAGATCTCAAAAACACGTGAATAATCAGACAAGCAACTGGATAGCTGATTCTCACTAGGGAACCTAAGCAGTGTTCCGACGAGAGGATGACAGGATTCTAAGACACTGGTACAGACAGACTGGAATTGTAGAAACGGCAGGTAATAAAGTTGATTGGTGCTTCAAAGATGAAAACAGTCTGTGCTAAAATAAACCTGGATACCTCCGTCCCGTGGGCTGGGTTTGGTGTATTTATGTGCAAGCTTTCTGGAGAACAGAGTAAAATAAAATTTTCACATTCCAATTACCAGTGCCGGCGAGCCTCTGGGCTTTATGTTAGCTGTCAAGATCATTTATTTCTAAGAACTCGGATTTAAATATTGGAGGACAGTGTTTTCAAACACAAATTTTCACCCACACATACACTTGAAGCTGGATTGTCAAGTGGTCTTACAACCTGTCCATTTCAAGGAAGCTACTTTTCTTTTTTAAAAAAAGTTGTGTTTTTAAACTGCAAAACATGAATATTTGGGTACTGAATGATCTGGGGAAACAGGGCTTTTATCATTTTGCTTTGAGTTTCTGTTCTTGATTTGCTGATCCTTTAACTCCTTTGCCTTACCTCAGTGAACACCAGGCACAAGCATTCAGCTGCAAAGTAGACACTCTCTAAGGTTGCAGGGCTTAATCTCCAAAGTACACTATGGAAACCTTGAGGTTACTTACAAATTGTAGGCTTGGTTCACATCCATGAGCTAGACCTGATTTTACATAATGACATTGAGATAAATTGTTTGCTTGATATACATATGTCTCGACAAGGCAGGGTTTCTCTGTGTGGCCCTGTCTGTCCTGAAACTCCAACTGTAGACCAGGCTGGCTTTGAACTCAGAGATTCCCCTGCATCTGCCTCTTGAGTGCTGGGATTAGAGGAGTGTGCCTGGCTTTCAGTTATCTTTAATGCAGATACTAGCTTACTATAAAACATGTAGGCTTCCCTGCATTTCTTATAAACACAAAATACCCTTCCTCATCAAAAGGTCATGATCGGACAAGGCAATTACATAAGCACCGCATTCTCTACAACATTTTTCATATTGCAGAAAGTGAATTTGCTAAAACTCACCAACCCTGAAATTTTTGCTAAAACATATGCAAAGACCTCATCCTCTTAGCAACAGCTAGGAGACCTGTAAATTAATATTTCAAATGATATACTGCCACATTTGAGCTTATTTATTTATTTATTTATTTATTTATTTATTTATTTATTTATTTATTTATTTATACACTTTATTCACTTTGTATCCTGGCTGTAGACTTCCCTCCTTCTCCTCCTACTTTCCCCCCTTTTTTCCTCCTCCCTCATCTCCTCCCATGCCCTTTCCCTAATCCACTGATAGGGGAGGTCCTCCTCCCCTTCTGTCTGACCCTAGCCTATTAGCTCTCATCAGAGTTGGCTGCGTTGTCTTCCTCTGTAGCCTGACTGAGCTTTTTGACCAAAGCCTTGCCCCAAGAGAATATATGTTTAGTGTTGAGTCTGTTGCTGATTGTATTGGCCAAGTGTTTTTTCTTGCCTTGCCATTTTCTCACACACTCTCTCTCTTTCTCTCTCTCGTCTCATGTTCTTTTTCTTCAAGGCAGACAGAACAGCTCCAATTATCAGTATGGAAAAGTCTAAATCAGAATTTACTGCTTTTTGTAAGTCTATCTTGAGCAGCCTCTTTAGCAAAGCGGGTACCTAGATGAGGTGAGACTGTCTTTTTTTTTGGTCACTTCTCCCTGACCTTGTTAAATTGATACATTTCTTCCATTATTTTAAGTAATTTGCTTTGGAGACTTTGCAGGCAACAACAGAAGACCTGGAAAGTATTTTTAAAATATGTGTCCTGATAAGGAACAAACGGAAGTGTGTAGGAACTGAAGGATGGCATTAAAGTTATATAATCTGATTAAGAGTGTGAGAATGCAACATACTGAATTTTGCACTCACATGACATTTTACTAAGTTTTCTGCAGGAGAATATACCCACAAATTTAAAGTAAGGTATGGGAACCTCAGTTAATGTCAACCAAGGCTATTTATTCAGCCATAAGGAACCCCTGTTGAGCAGAGTTTGTGAAAATGATGATTACTTGAAATCAAAAGTGATCACCAAACACCACAAAACTTATACATCAAAGGAACTCAAAAAAATAATAGCCCGAATAAGTGATCTTTGCAACCACAGAAACAATATAAAAAGCTAAGTTGTTTCATTTGATTTTTGCCTTTAAAAATGCTTCAGTAAACATGCACATTGTGTGTTTTTATAAGTGGTTTCAGCAGAACTAATTCCTTGAAGTGGAATCTCTAGATAAAAATGCATTTGCAGTTTTTAAGTGTCACCATTACCTTACCGACACAACCAAAGAAGCCGTACCAGTTCAACTTTCTCTGACAAAAATCTCTGGATTTTTCACAAGGACTGAGATGAGAATTTCACATGGGATACGTCTGTCTGCCCTTCCATTTGTTCAAACTTGGCTAAACATAGTTCATTCTCTTCTGTGGTGGCTGGTGATGACCTTGTGGAAAGGGAGAAAACATTCACTATAGTCTACTTGCTAGGCTAGAGCCTCTAGAGCTGCAGGGGCTGTTTCTCCTTTCTCCATCTCTGCACAGGTTCTACTTAAAGGGTGCACTCACCTTCCTCCCCTTGTTGGCTTGGAGTCCAAGCATACACTGTTCTCAGTCTCCAAGGCTTCCTGAGGCTCTCTGGGCTCCCTCTCCACCTTGTCATTCAGCTCCCCTGTGTGATTAACCCAGAGAGTTACCTGACATTGACCCAGTCCCTGCACTGAAGAGGTAACCTTATCCTTCAAACTGCCACTCCTTATTCAGTACTTTTATCTTTATCAGTCCCATTTTCATCTTGAAATAGAAACGCAGAAATGCTTCGCTCTGCACCTGAACCTAGCCCTTAAGTTGAAGGGTTATGCCAGTGTTATCAAAGCTGTAGTTACAGTAGGACTTTTAGTTTATGTTCAACATTAGCATGCTAGCTTCTACAGTGAGAACTGTAGAGCAAAGAGAAGTGAAACACGAATTCCTTTTAGAAGCTTGTAAAACTATGAGGAGACAGACATCACTAACCAAATCTAGGCCACTCTTTGATAAGCACTAAAACATATACAAATTAAAATTCTATGACATTTTACTTCCGGAAACTTATTCCACAGATATACCTGTGATGAAAAAAAAAAAAAGAAGGCAAATTTCTCAGTGCAGGATTGTACATAATACGAAAAGTCAAGGGGGCTTTTGATTACTGAGAAGGAAATCTGTCAATTAGGAAATGCTCTCCATGGAATAACATGGAGTGACCCAGGATCAATTTCACATAAAAGCAAACAATGGAACATGTATAATGGATGTTTCCCTTTGTAGAAAAACTTGTGAAATAATGTGTATTAATGCTTATTCATATATCCAGGAATGTTATGAAGATGATTCAGTCAGTGGTGGGTCACAGATAGGATAGCAGTCTCCCAGATTCCCAGGGAGCTGGAAAGTTTCTACAGCCTAGTGATGTCTTAGCCACCATAGCAGAGTAACTCACGTGCTTGTAATCATGTTGGTGCAGACAGACCCACTGAGCTGCCAGCTACATGAAAGTATTATATTGTGTGTAATATTGGATATCGATAATAATGATTATGTACATGCTATGCTGGAAAATTTTTTGTAGTTTTAGAGTGTCCTCCTTAGTAAAAAAAAAAAAAAAAAAAAAAGAGTATGCTATAAAACAAGATTCTATTTTACTCTAGAAGTGACTTTCATGATCATCTCCTTTTTTGCCTGCATCGAGAGGACTTGTAAATTTGCTCTGCATAAGTACACTTTATGTGCTTCACCCGTGGCAAAACTGCTTAATGATATATTTCTCAGAAATAATCTTTATAAGTGACATGTGACTACATAAAAACAGTGTATTGCCCTATGGGGCATTAGAGTTTGGGGTTAAATGTAACTTTCCAATCCATATATCTTTGTGCTATTTTAATTTTGTTATTTTCATCTTCTTGGTCATCAACGCATGATTTTACAGGCCTTGCTTGAGCTAACCTGCTTAAGTTTTGAAGATGAACAATGTGAAAATTTTCTTCTTCAAGCTTTAAATAAAAGCCTTATGCTGAGTTGCAAAGAGAAATTCTTTACTTAGAATGTGTGCCTCAAAATTCCCAGAACATCTCATTAAGGTGATTTGGGGAGAGGTATTGGGATGAAATTAGATCTGGATAATTCTTTGGACTCTTCTATGAACTGAAATTAGGATGTTTTACAAGAAGGCAGTAGAGAAATTTTATAAATGAGGAAAATGCTGATGATTTTATGATTGTAAATGACATTGTCAAATGAATATGAAAATTTAAAATCTTCACACAAGTCAGACAAGGACACAAAATGAAGAAAACTTCAAACCCCTGTCTATCTCTGTGTCTTGTCTCCTCACTGCTACTACCCTGAATTTTCAGCTCCTTTTAGTCATCCTCCACCCCAAGACTATATCCAACAGACAGTCTTGATTTCCTAGGACACTACTACCAAATGGCTGGACGTATGGAGAGCCATACGTGACCATAAAGAGGGTGACCCCTATTTTCCCTTTCCACTCATGCCGCCCCGTCCCGCCACCACCTCTCACAAATGGAGAAGGAGAGCTTCAGATGTGATAAAATGTCCAGGAAGCTTATCTGACCCACATCTAGTGTTGGTTTCTTTTCAGGAAAACTAGTGGTTCATTATGTTATTTTTACGAGCTTATCGTGCAAATGCGAGCCTGTCAAGTGAGTTATTGCCAGCAATCAGGACCATTTGTTACATAACATCAGTAAGTGGGACTCAGGTGAGAAACGACCCTGATTGTAGGTGTTTAGGCCCAATGTGCATCAGTTGTAACTCCTTAAATGCATTTCTTCTAGCAGCTAATTTGAAATGCTTTATCAGTGAAAAGTCTCACACAACAGTTGTACAAACATACATAGAAAAGCATGAGGAAATTAAATCAGAGTTATAATGTAAACCTTAAAATGATGGCTTAATTTGCACTCACTTTGTATTTTTAACTAAATATTGTGGTAAGTAGTGCTTACTTAAATCCTAAGGATACGGGCATTTATTATACACAATATGAAAATACTTCAAGAGGCTTGTGATTAACGCTGTGGTATTCAGGCTCAGTTTACAGCGACTTTCAATCAAAGACAAAAGGCTCAAGCAGATGATGAAACGCATTAAAAAGATGTGTGTGCACACCCGAGGATTTAATGCAGACCTGCCCCTGGTAGCTCGGAGGTTCGAGGTTTTATCCCCTAACAAGTAGCGCCGTCGCTTGACGCACGGCTGTGCTCAGGGAAGGACGGCCGGCCAAAGCACGGGATTGCCTAGTTAACCTTAATTTCTGACCAACAGTGAATATTTTCATATAAAATTACGTACAGGCTATTGAATGCAGCATGCTATACAAAAAAAAAAAAAAAGTGGCTATTAGGAAACCAACTACCCCTGAGTACCCTGTACTATTTGTTTTTTCTAGGCATGGCAGCTCTACCATACAGGTTCTGAGGAGTCCCCACATGCCTTCTTCCCTGCCTGCCATGGCTTAGCTTGAGGTCTCTCAAGCTAACATCCTTGAACATCCTTGAACACATGTGAGCTCACTTTTTAAAGGGTGATGCCTGGAATATGGGAAAACCCCCAGTCCAATCGTCAGGTGAGCATGGTGATTCGGCTCTTGGTAAGCTTTGGGTGTGGTTTGTTCACATAATTATGTGTTGGAAGCCTGCTCCTCAGCGTGACCAGGGAGAGGTGGTGGGGCCTGTAAGAACTAGGTCCTCTTGAGAAGCCATTTGGTGATTGCCCTTGGATGGGATCATGACAGTTTTTATGGACTCTGGGTTAGTTCTAGTGAGAGTGACTTATTGTGAGAGCAAGCCAACCTCTGAGCTCCTAATGCCCCATAATTTCTTGTCTTGGGTGCTATCTCTTTTTCCCGAAGTAGACTCACAGTTTTGGGGTTGACCTCATCAGGGCCACGGCTATGGTGTTAAGGGACACTGCTCCCGGGAGACACGAACAAACATCTACTCCCCGACCCTTGCAGATAGCGAACCAATACAGATCAAAGTAAGGACATCACGAAAGTACATCGAAAGTGAATGAGGGCGTGATTGGGGTTGTTTGCAGGAGTGTGAGTGAAGGGTTACTTACAGGAGCAGAAGTAACTCAAAGACAGCTGCGTCGGCAAAGCCTACCTCAGCACGGGCGATAGACCATGGAAGCGAAATTCTGGAGGACACTGCGCAACCTCATGCAGTACAAGTTGGAAAGTGTCCTCTCTGGGTGGTTCGGTTAGTCTGAGTGTCTGCCAGCCAGCTTCACTGTTCTGTTTCTTCCAGACAGCAACTCCTCAGTGAGGTTGTCTCTCACAGTCCTCACTGCTTACATATGTTTGGTGGAGAAAGGAACCCAGTCAGTCTGATCAGTTTTAAGGATTTCCTGAAGCCTTTGAGTTGTTTACTTCCTGAGCTTTCCTGGAAGATGGCATGCTTCATCCTCCCTTAGAGCATCCTATACCTTCGTGAGCTTCCCTCCAAGATGGAAGTTAACAAAAGGAATTCACCATGCTCCGGGATCTCTAGAACTATGAGCCAAATAATCCCCTTCCCCCCTTTCTAAAATGAAGTATCTAGCTTTGGACATTTCATTATCATAACAAAGTTTGCATTTTCCAATAAAAATTTAAACATTAACAAACAGAGAGAGGCGTTGACTGCCACCTCAGCAGCTGTAGTGTGGAGAAGACATTTTCTTTCTCTCCTTAAATCTGAATGCTAACATTAAATCTTTAAAAGCATGTGTTTAATGTTTGGTGCCACTTTTCAAAGAGCACACAGATGTGAGAGGAGGTAGGAGAGCTCCTCTCACGTAAGTGTGCGTGTCACATGAGCTTTGGTCTACAGTCACGGATTGACTTTTTGGAGCACTGGTGAAGGCCGCTACTCAAAGGTTTGATTTAATGTTGTCTCAGTCAGGCTAACTGATAGCACTAAGAGTGTCCAGCAACCAAAGAAATGGAACGTAGATGTGGTAGAATAGTAAATAAAACATGTAGAATTGGCAGACTTGAGATTGAGTCTTGGCTATTCATTTCAAGCATCTGTGAGGGCCCATGCAATTCATTTAGCCTTCATGACTCTTGGCTTTCTTTTCAATAAAATGGGGATATTAAGGCAGGGCAAGAAAGTATGTGTACAAATAATTTGTAAACTTCAAGTCCTATCCAGATGTTAGTAGTGACTACTGATAATGAGGGAGATAACGGTCAAGAAAAAAAATGACATGAGTCAGTAGTCTGTATGTATATGTTATTGTATTAACATTATATATTGCAGTGCTAGAAGTTGAATTTCTGGCCTCATTAATGCTCAGAATACACTGCTATTGAACTTCACCTGGAGCCCCCAGGGGACAGTTGACAGTTTTGTGTTTTATTATGTTTAGTGTGTGTGTGTGCATGTGATTATGTATGTGGGAACACACTTAGCACCGCACATGAGTAGAATTCAGAAGACACTTTAGGGAGCTGGTTCTGTCGTTCCACCACATAGGACCGGAGCTCTCCTTCGACCCCGTAGAACTAGGGCACCAAACTTAGTCCATCAGGTTTGGTGACAAGTGCTCTTACTCACTGAGACATCTTCCTGGTCCCTGTACTAGAGTTTGAAATGTTTACCACTACTCGATTCGTAAGAACTATACATGTATGATTACTGTTATTATAGGGGTTGAGAAAATAAATGCATTGAAAACAAATTCAGCTGCATATACTTTATTCATTCATTCACTCATTCATCAAAGGTGTAGTCTTGCATTCCAAGTGGCGTCAAACTCTCTTTGTAGAAGAGGATAACCTTGAATTCATGATCCTCCTGCTCTCACCTTTCAAGTGAGATTACAGGTATCATGGGTGTCTAATTCTATCTATGTTAGAAATTTTTTTTACAGAAAAGACTCACCTTTATTTATTTTGTTTAAAAAAATCAAAATAAAGCTGCTACAAACATGGTTGAGCACTTGTTGTATGCTTGAGTGAATTTTGGATATATGCCTAGGAGTGGTATAGCTGGATCTTGAGGAAGCACTATTCCTAATTGTCTGAGAAAGCGCCAGATTGATTTCCAAAGTGGTCATACAAGTTTACATTCCCACCAGCAGTGGAGGAGGGTTCCCCTTTCTCCACATCCTCTCCAGCATGTGTTGTCACTTGAGTTATTCATCTTAGCCATTCTGATGGGTGTAAGGTGAAATGTCAGTGTCATTTTGATTTGCATTTCCCTGATGACTAAAGATGTTGAACATTTCTTTAAGTGTTTCTATGCCATTCTATATTCCTCTACAGAGAATTCTCTGTTTAGCTCTGTACTCCATTTTGAATTGGATTTGTTGATGTTTAGCTTCCTGAGTTCTTCATATATACTGGATATTAGCCCTCTGTCAGATATAGGGTTGGTGAAGATCCTTTCCCAAGCTGTAGGCAGTCATTTTGTTCTGACGACAGTGTCCTTTGTTTTCCAGAAGGTTTTCAATTTCATGAGGTCCCATTTATTGATTGTTGCTCTCAGAGCCTGAGCTGTTGGTGTTCTGTTCAGGAAGTTGTCATCTGTGCCAATGAGTTCAAGGCTCTTGTCCACTTTTTCTTCTAACAGGTGTAGTGTGTCTGGTTTTATATTGAGGTCTTTGATCCACTTGAACTTTAATTTTGTGCAGGGTGATAGATATGGGTCTGTTTGAATTTTTTTACATGTGGACATCCAGTTAGACCATCACCATTTGTTAAAAGTGCTATCTTTTTTCCATTGTATGGTTTTGGTATCTTTGTCAAAAACCAGGTGTCCATAAGTGTGTGGGTTTATTTCTGGGTCTTCAATTCTATTTCATTAATCCACCATTCTGTTTCTATGCCAGTACCATGCAGTATTACTGTATTACTGTACAGCTTGAGATCAGAGATGGAGATACCTCAATAAGATCTTTTATTGTAGAGGATTGTTTTAGCAATTCTGGGTTTCTTGTTATTCCAAATGAAGTTCTGAATTTTTCTTTCAAGGTCTGTAAAGAATTGTGTTGGTAATATGATGGGAATTGCATTGAATCTGTAGATTGCTTTTGTTAAGATGGCCATTTTTACCATGTTAATCCTGTCAAGCCATAAGCATGGGAGATCTTTCCATTTTCTGGCATCGTCTTCTGATTCTTTCTTCAGAGACTTAAATTTTTTTTTCATACAAGTCTTTGACTTGCTTGGCTAGGGTCACACCAAGGTACTTTGTGTCCTTTGTGGTTATTGTGAAGGGTGTTGTTTCCCTAAAAACAGCCCAGATGCCTCTCAGTTGAGGAATGGATACAGAAATTATGGTACATCTACATAATGGAATATTACTCAGCGATAAAAAAACAAAGAAATCATGAAATTTGCAGGTAAATGGTGGGAACTGGAAAAGATCACCCTGAGTGAGCTATCCCAGAAGCAGACACACACACAGGGTATATACTCACTCATAAGTGGATATTAGACATATAATATAGGATAAGCATTCTAAAATCTGTACACCTAAGAAAGCTAATCAGGAAGGATGACTCTGGCTAAGATGCTCAATCTCCATTCAGAAAGGCAAAGAGGATGGACATCGGAGGAGGGAGAAAACAGGGAACAGGACAGGAGCCTACCATGGAGGGCCTCTGAAAGGTTCTACCTTGCAGGGTATCGAAGCAGATGCTGAGACTCATAGCAAACTTTGGACAGGGTTCAGGGAATCTTATGAAAGAAGTGGAAGATAGTAAGACCTGGAGAGGACAGGAGCTCCACAAGGACAGCTACAGATCCAAAAAGTCTGGACACAGGAGTCTTTTCTGAAACTGATACTCCAACCAAGGACCACTCATGGAGATGGCCTGGAACCCCTGCATGGAGGTAGCCTATGGCAGTTCAGTGTCCACGTGGCCTCCATAGTAATGGGGACAGGGACTATCTCTGACATGAACTGATTGGCCTGCTCTTTGATCACCTCCCCCTGATGGGGGAGCAGCCTTACCAGGCCACAGAAGAAGACAATGCAGCCACTCCTGATGAGACCTGATAGACCAGGATCAGAGGGAAGGGGAGGAGGACCTCCCTTATCAGTGGACTGGGAGAGGGACACGAGTGGGGAAAAGGGACGGTGGGATTGGGAGGGGAGGAGGCAGGAAGGTACAGGGGGATACAAAGTGAATAAATTGTAATTAATAAAATTAAAAATAATTAAAAAAACAAAAAATCAAAAATCAAAATAAAATATAAGATAAAACAAAAACTATCACATCAAAGTTGAAGAAGATAAACCAACAGAAGGAAAAGAGCCCAAGAGAAGGCACAAGAATCAGAGACTCACTCATTCTCACACTCAGGAATCCCATAAAAACTATAATATATATATATGTATATATATAATATATGTATATATTATATATACATATATATAATATATATTTATATATATATTAGCTGTAATATATACGCTGAGAGAACCTTGTGTAAGCCACTGCCGGCCCTGTGCATGCCTCTTCAGTCTCTGTGGGCTCACATGAGCTTTGATCATGTTGATCTAGAGGGACTTGCTTTCTTGGTGGCCTCCATGCCCTCTGGCTCTTATAGTCTTTCCACCTCTGCATTCTAAAGGCCGTAACTAATGTGACAAAAAGATGACGGTTTTCAATGGTTTAACTAAATGGCTACCAGGTCTTACCTTGTTTTCCTGTTTCCTTGGATTTGAAAATGTCTGCCTCCTGTCCCAACTCTATGATCTAATAATAGCCTTTATCTTGTAGGGTTCTTAGCAGGAACAATGTCATATCTCCCAAACAAGCTCTCATATTTTTCTCAAGATGCTGAGAGAGAGATTGAAACTTAGATTGTGACTCACCATCTGTTAGTTGTATACTCTTAGTTAGATTACTCAACTTTTTGGTTGAATTAATTCTGAATGAATCTCATGATTATGAATTGCACATCGTGCCATTCCCTGTAGCACATCCAGCAGAAACGGTGATGAATAGCTCTCAAGTGTGAGCCCTGCCTGCAGTGTGACCTGGAATGTGGAGGAAAGGGAGATGAAGGAGTGGTTATGGCTCAGAGCCCCAAGACCAACAGTTTACCTTGAAGACTACAGACACCACAATGCCATTTACATACATATTCCATTTGAACTTAAAACAGATTTAGGGTTTCCAGGAGACAGGGAGAAAGAATAGGAAATGCTTACTTAAAAATCACCAAGAATTCTTCTGGGATAATGAAACTATTAGGGAACTCGACAGAGATGGTGGCTACACAATATTACGGATGTTCTAAGGACTAGGAAATAAATAACTTTCAACGGCTACTTGAATGTTCTATGAATTTTCATTCTGATAAAAAATTAAGTGTTAATGGTACAGGGCTAAGAAGTTCTCTCTAGTTTTATGTCCAAAAATTGAAATCTGGAGTTGTCTTTCTAGTATGAACTACACCTACAAGCTATATTTTCAGAATAATTTATGTTCTTTAAATTAAAGAAAAAAAAAGCTGGAGAGTTTAATGGTTAAGAGCACATTTTGCTCTTGCAAAAAAACCTGGATTCAATTCCCAGCACATACAAGGTGGCTCATAACCATCCATAACTCCAGTCCTAGGGCATCTGGTGTCCTCTTCTGACCTTCTTGGGTACCAGGCATGGTAGTGCACACACATATGCAGGAAACGCTCATACATATAAAATAAGAAAGAAAATCTAAAAAAAAAAATTAATTGGAACAGATCATCACCTACAAGTCTATCTTAGAATAGATTCCTCTTAGACTTTCAAAAAATATTTATTTATTTTTATGTGCATTAGTGTTTTGCCTGAGTGTGTGCCTGTATGAGGTTGTTATCCTCTGGAACTGGAATTAACAGACAGTTGTGAGCTGCCATGAGGGTGCTGGAAATTAAACCTGGGTCATCTGGAAGGGACCGTAGTGCTCTTACCCCTTAAGCCCTCTCTACAGTCCCTTGTTAGATTTTTAATGTGTTTTTTATTTTGTTTTCAGCTTTGAAGTGTTTTCTTTTCTTTCCCTGTTTTGTTTTTCAAGATAAGGTCTCACTGTGTAGCTCTGGTTATCCTGGACCAACTACGTAGACCAGGCTGGCTTTGAACTCACAAGAGACCTACTTTCTTTTGCCTCCCAGGTGCTGGAATTAAAGGTGTTTGCCACTATGCCTGGCTCAGAGCAGTTTTCTTAACAGTTCATACTTACATATTTGAACATTATTGAAAGAGAGAATGCGGAACAGAGGTGGTTTCAAGATATTATGGGATGTCTGCTAGACATGGAGCTGTAAAACTAAGCCACACAAGCTAAAGCCCCAATGGCATTCGTGTGAGGCCAACAATGCAAAGCATGCAATCAGCGTTGCCCACGTGGACAACTCTGGTAACTGGTGAAAGCTGACCCAGATGTTTAAGGGGTGAGGGGTACATGGACATGACAGGACTACTGCAGGTAATCAGAGTTTGGACTCTGAGGAGGGTAGCAGGGTAGGGGGATGCCGTAGCTGGAGGGAGTAGGGCATGAAGAATGTCTGGTTATCTGGGGACAGCAGTTATTCAATATAAGCCCCCATCCCACTGACTGACTGAGAGTTAATTCTCATCAGACACCCACTTGCCCACGGTGAGCTACAAGCTATGCCAGGGGTTTGCTGACTAACACTGATTAACACTGATGTAGTTTATTGTACTGTTTAGGCTCTCACAGTAATCATTTGGGACTTATTTTTTTAATGAGGCTTTTTGGCCCGTTTCATTTATATTAGATTTTAGTCTTTAAATATTTATTATTTGTGTGTGTGTGTGTGTGTGTGTGTGTGTGTGTGTGTGTGTGTGTGT